GAATACATTTCCTAGTGTCCTTATCAATATTATAGGCAGTGTATCATCAAATTTAAAAAAATTTGTTCGTGCAAAAAAATATTCTTCAACATGTATTTGTTAAACAGCATTAAAAGTGATGCAATGCCCAAAGTGGGGGAAGGTAAGCACTAAGGTGGCCCAGGAGGGGTGACAAGGTGTCCACAGGGTGGAAGCATTTGTCAAGATGCAGGAACTGTATGTAGTGATTAAAGAGGCTCAGCGTCTGGTAGGAAGCACCAGTCCCATGGCAAAGACTGGGCATGTGTCCAACCCTCAAGACATCCTTATGTGCTGGTCACCTTGTTCCTGGGAAGCAGCTACTCCCAAGGTTCCCGAAGTTGGGAGCCACAGTCTGGCAGTGCTTAGGACAGACACCATGAAGCTTGTGGCCTCCTAATGCTTCGGGAATAAGGAACTCTGACCAGGCTCAGCAAGGCCAGACACCTGTTGTTGGCTTCTAAGTCAGCGTCTCCACAGAGCAGCAGGTCCACATACAGTGGCACAGATTCTGTTACCAATTGAATTCATGTTAGAAGATGCTTTGTGTGTTAGCTGTTTAATTTGACTGCAGAGAACAGAAGGCAAAAGAGAATCATCTGGATCTAAGCTTTGACATTGGTTTGGACATTCTCTGGCTATTGATCACCTCGTGACAGCCCCTAGGGGAAAGCAAGAGATTCATTGTGGTCTTAGCTTTGATTTTTGGTTCAGACATTCTCTGGCTTTCTGAGTTTATAACCTCTTTGTGTGTCAGGATTTCTTCATTTACAGAATTAAGAGGTAAAACTTTCATAGCATGCCTTAAAATGGATTTTCACAGCTACTCGATTGGGAGTGTTTTTGAAGAGATATCACAATTTCCAGACAGAAATTCATGTCATTACCACGGAGCAGAAATGCCAGAAGCTATTAGGTACTCTCCTGACCCTGTTTCTATCTTACCACACCTAGATCCTCTCAGGAAGAGGAATGAAGATGGCTCCCCATGGAGAGAACCCCAGCAGTAGCATTTGGAACAAACCATTTTGTAGCATGGTTGGGAAAAGCCACCTGCAGGAGTCGTTCATTAAACATGGTGGCTGAGGGTACATGGTATGGCTTGGTCCTCTGTATAGTGTACACTGTGAATTCTCAAAGGCAAGTTACTCACAGCGACTGGAGAGCTAGATACCTAAGACAGCTTACTCCATTGCAGAGGTTATCAAAGCATGGTTCACAGACTCCTGGGAACTCTGAGATCCTTCCAGGGAATCTGAGAGATTAAAACTATTTTCATAACAATATGAAGACATTATTTGCCCACTGCCAGATGTTGGTACTGACACTGAACATCAGGCAAGGCAATAGTCTTGAACTGTAATAGTCATCAGTGGCTTCTTCAAGGCCACATGCTCACGGTAGACAACACAAAACTCAATTTCACTTAACAGTGTCCTTCATGTCACAGTATAAATGAGTAATTTCGAGTTTCTACCTATGGGTACACATCTTATTGTGGCCAACTGAAAAGTCTGCAAAAATGGTTCTGCTGAACACAGATGGATGCTGACTGTCCTCAATAAATGCACTCACGCGGTTCTTGGAGGTGCACGCTGGTCTAGCCACTTTGCGCATTCATAAAACATCATCTTTACTTGAAAGAACAAATGACAGGCAGATTATGGTTATTCAGACTCGGGAATTTGGCAGACATTTTTCTCAAAAATGAAGTGAGTGTGTCACTTCAAGGAAAATAACTGACAGTATTTCGTTGCCAATAATAAAATTTGAGTTTTCAAGCAAAAATCAGAATCTTGGAAAACTTGTAGCCATTACTGTGAACTTGATAGCTTTCCAGTTTTCTAACATTTTTCTGACGAGCTCTGTTATCCTAATAATGGATGTGGTTTTGATATTGGTTTATGAGCTGTCTCAGCATTCAGATGATCTAAAGAGCTCATGAACTAGTACTTCTCAAATGGTCAGTGTCAGAGACACAAAATCATGCATGTATGAGATACTCATTCAAAGTAGAAGCTAAGTAGTAAGTTTCAGTGTCACAGAACACCAGCCCATTGGTATAATTTCATATTCCATATCATTATTGGACTTTAAAAAAACCCTACAATTTGTAGAGTTTAAAGTGGTTTGTGGTATAGTATCAAAGATTATTCTAAAGTATTTGGAAAGGTTAGGAAAGCATTCTTTTTAATTTTTAAAGATTTGTGTATTTATGTATGTGCCTGATTGTCTGCATGTGTGCCACATGCATGTACATACTTACAGAGGCCAAAAGAGGGCATCGGATCAGGTTTCTTGGAGCTAGAGTTATAGGCAGTTGCGGGCCACCTGAAGTGGTACTGGAAACTGAACCCAGGTCCTCTGCAAGAGCAGGAAGTGCTCTTAACTGCTGAGCCATCTCTCCAGCTCCCCAAACACTCTCTCCAGTTACATATGCATACCAGCTAGAATATATCTTCTTCGTATACTCCACCAGAAATGCACCACAACAGATTGGATGCAGAAACAAGGATGAATGAGGATCCATGTGTTTTTTATTAATCCACATACTAAAGAGATTGGCAAAAGCACAAAGCAAGGACATGCTTTGCACTAAATTTCTTTTAGACAATGTAGTCATTTCCACAAAATATATTATTATTTTTTCCATTAGCATGTGATGAGTATATTACTATATGCTGCTTGAAATTAGTAAGCAATATTTTACAATTTCTCAGCTTTCATTTTATAAGGTGAATAACAGGAGATGTAATGAAGGTTGAAGTTCTCTGTGGTTCTTCAGCATGTGAAAAGGATGCTGAGACTAAAAGGCCCAAGATCCCGGCTTGGAAAGTGACATTTTGGATGACTAATTAAGAAGGGACAGGGGACTTGGCATTTGACAGTTTGTTGTCAGGAAGCTTCTCTGGGCTGAAAAGGGCGGGTTATCGAGACAGAATATCCCTGCAGCTAAGACTGATAGAAGTCACTGTTGAGAACACAAAATTTCAAGGTCTTGATTAGACATTGCCTGTGTTTTCCAAGTGTCTCCATCCTCCCCACCCCCAAGGAAGGTCTGACACATACTCCTTGCTCAGTACTGGCTATTGTGACTCAGTGTCAGCTAGACATCTGCCTCCCAGACTCTGAGCTCAGCAACCACTGCCTAGTCCTCAGAGCAGCACCAGGAGGTGGCAGGGACCAATACTCAAAGCAGGTCATGGCTTTTGTCCTGGAGAATGTCCAGTCGGGTGGGGAAAAAGCATCCCTGGAGAAGTCATCACAATACGATACAATAAATATTATTCTGAACCTGGTGATCACATTTTTCCACCAGAAAAATGAGGGCACAGCCCAACACTGTAAATACTGCCTGACAGTGGAACAATCCTGAGAAATTGGAACACATGTCTGCTGTATTTATTAAACTCTCAGCAATGCCACAGAAATTCTGTATAGGTTTGCACTTGGTTTGCCTCAGAGGCCCCAAAACAATGACTTGGTACCTCCCTCCGCCTAAATTCTGGGAAACAACAGTGGCAGAATAGAAATGAGCAAAAAGCTCCTTAGGACCACAAAAGATGAGTAATGGCCCCTAACATTTTATTTCCTCTGGGTTAGTGGATGGGAGCATTGTAGGACATTTTTTATAGCATTCTGATTCCAAGTGGTCACCCCCCCTCCCTCCACCCTACCCTTCAGGCAAAGAGTCCAAGTTTGTTCACATAAGTCTCCCACACCAGCTGAGGCAGAACAGGCTGAATCCCAGAGTCACAGGAATGAATTAGCCAGAGGCTCCTAAGATGTGGGTAAAATTAACCAACAGGACTCTCGATCTGACCAAGAATGTTGGAGGCCCCTCTGGGTGGGCTGTTTGGGGACCAGGGAGGTTTTGATGTAGCCAGAGTCTTCTTAGGGCCCTACCACGTGCCCTTTCTCCCCTTTCCTCTGGGGCTTGGCCGAAATCCCTCTTTTTAATCTTTCTCCCAGTTCTGCTGTTCTTCTCCAGCTGTGGTAACTCCAGAGTAAAATAAATGCCATGCCTAAGAACAAAACAGCCCAGACCGTGCCCAGACACAATATGCTCAGTGCCATGCAGGGCCATCTTGCCTCCCACGGCTAGAGAGAACAGGCCCTCCAGGGTCTTAATGGAACACAAACCAAAAGCAAAGCATTTTATTTGATGCTGGGCAAATGGTGATTTCTCCGTGATCTTCAGTGAGCTTATCCACACAACAGGTGATTTTCAGGATTCAATGGTATGCCATAGGTAAAAGCTGACAATGTATGCTAAGTCTAGTATTCAGAGCTACAATTTCCATGTGACTGTTTGACAAGTGTCCATCTCCCCACTCACCCCTGAGTGGCCTCAGACCAGCACTGTATCTCTTCTGTTGTTCACTATTACATCTCTGAAGTTTAGGGCCTGGCACATGTTAAGCATCTATTGAGACATCTGTCGGACAAAAAAGAGCTGAGGACTGTCCTCTTTTCAAGGATCTACTCTCAAATTGCAAGTTTGGGGTCTCCTGACAACTTTCATGGATTGGTAGTGGCGATTTTGAGCCTGATGTCATGAAGGCATTAAAAGATGACATTCGGAACCATAGGGAAAGGGCGTATCAGTTGCTTACTGACATCTGCCTATGGTTAAGGATGAAAAGAAGCTGTGTTGTCTGTGGAGTCAAGAGACAGTCCCTTCACCAGCAATTTCCAGTGCAGACAGTCCATTCTATGATATGGATACAGCTGTTTTAGGAGGCCTGAAGTTGGCTGGCTCAAATCACAGATAAAACACTTAGAACAATGTTGAACAAAGAAGCTAAAAGCACATTACTATTATGTCTGCCTGTCTTCATGAATTTACTCACTTGGAATGCAATTTTCATGAATCAGTGGATAATAATGGGCAGGACTGACACAGCTCAGCCTGTGGATTCCACAAGCAGACAGCGTTAGCAGCATGCTTTCTACAACCAATAAGGCAGCTGTGTACTCACGAGGGTAATCCTTGGGGTGAGTCTTCTCGGACCAGTTCCCGTAAAATGTGAGCCTGTACTTGGCAGTTCCACAGGCACAACAGTCTAAGATTGGTCTGTCTGTCACCCCGTCGAGTGTGGGATCTGAAATGGGAAGTCAAGTTAGAGAGCAATCAAAACTGCTAGCCTTATCCCTGATCCCTGCATAACAAAGACCAGAGCAGTTTCATTGATTCTTAAGATTCAGGACCAGTACTTGGACTCTTAAGGATTTTAGATCCCTTAAGTATAAAAATAGAGTTTATAAGTAAAAGAAAGAATGGAAAGAAATCAAAGCCTTTGCTCTGATAACTTAAGGAGCTTCTTGAGAATCTTTAATTGTAGAATCTTTAAGATGGGGAGACTTGGGGAAATCAGTGGTAATTTTACTACGCTCTTCTTTTTGGGTCCTGGTCTCCTTGCCATCCATCTCACAGTAGTATTTCTCTATTGGATTTTAAAAGGGACACATGTGCCTGTTTTCCCTAAGAAATATTTTTAGGGCCAAAATGCCAGACCAGAGGGGGTGGCTTTGAAGGGCAACAGTGAACAAGTAGAGAGACATAAAGAACTGGCAAAAATTGGAAGAGAGAGAGAGAGAGAGAGAGAGAGAGAGAGAGAGAGAGGCTTATATAGTCACATCATCCCTTTCTAAAATTTATTTTCATTTTATGCATCTCTGTATGTGTCTGTGTATAAGTATGTGCACATGAATGCAGGTTACAGGCAGTTATGAGTCACCCAAAGTGGGTGCTAGGAACTGAACTCAGTCGGGTCCTTTGCAAGAGCGAAAAATTATTATTTACTTTTATTTTATATGTATAAGTGTTTGGTCTGCATGTATGTAAATGCGCCACTTGCATGCAATGCCCAGGGAGGCCAGGAGACCATGTCAGGTTCCCTGGAACTGGAGTTACAGACTGTTGTTAGCTGCCATGTGGGTGCTGGGAACTGAACCCAGGTCCTCTGCAAGAGCAGTCATTGCTCTTAACTGCTGAGCCATCTCTCCAACCCTTAAATCATCTCTTACCAGGCTTTCAGAGACTTTACTGGGAGGCGCTGGGGTTGCAAATGTGCTTATAAGTTCAGGTTTACATGTAAACATAGAAGCAGCCAGGAAAAACTCAAGATTCCCCTTTCACCCCCAGTTTTTAGCTGTGAATAGCTGATAAATGGGGAAAGAGAGATTACAGGAATAAATTTGGCATTTCTGATTGTGAAAGCCCAACTGTGCCTTGTTGATCTCAGTCCGCTGTGCGTTCTGCTAGAGGAAAACAGACTACAGATGCAGCTTGCTACAATTGCTTTTTCTGTGGGGCTCCTCACAGTGTTAACATAAATCTTTTTTTTAAGGTGGACATTTATTCTTAAATATTAAACAAAGAGCAGCAACGAAGAGGATGAAAACGATTCTGCATGTCAGTGCTTTTCAAGTGGTCCCTTTTAGAGTTCACTGTGTCTGAACATGTAAAATTAGTGTTGGGCAAGAGTGAGTTGTGGGATGGAGGCAAACTAGGGGTAAAGCAGTGATATCTCCACTGGGTTGTGTCCTCTGATGTGCTCACCCCTTTCCACATGCTGTCTCAGGAAATACTGTGCGTACTCCTTGTGGTTTGAATGTGAAGTGGCTCCCATAGGCTTATGTATTTGAAAACTTGGTCCCTAGCTGGTGGCACTGTTCCGGAAGGTTATGGAACCTTTAGGAGGTGGAGCCTTGCTGGAGGAAATGGGTCACTGGAGCTGAGCCTCATTTCTTGTTCACTCTTTGCTTCCTGAGTGTAGATGCGATGTGACCAGCCAGCATCCTGCTCCTGCCCCCAGGCCTTCCCTGCCATGATGGACTGTGTCCCCCTGGAACTGGAAATCAGAATAAACCCTTTCTCCTTTAAGTTGTTTTTGTGAGAGTATTTTATTTAACAGCAACAGCACGGTAATGAAGACATCCCTGTTTTACAGATCTGCAACCTGAAGCAGAAGCAGACTGAATGACCTGCTTAGGCTCACAGGATCAGTGAGCTGTGCAGGCAGAACGGGAACCCAGGACTTTTTTGGTCCGGAGTCTGTGCCTTTACTTTGTATTCTATTACTCCGGGAAACCCCACTCTGGGTGGGTCTGTATAAATAACACCCAGTGAAAAACCGTGTTTCTATTTTCCTTCTTCTAAACGAAGAAGGATGCATTTAAAAATTCACCTCCCCACCTTGGGGAGGTGCTACCCAATGCAGAAGTTTCTTTTCTGATACTTGGCAGAGGCCAGAGTGTTGTCTGTTCCTAGGAGCAAGCTGCCCATTGCCAGACGTGCATGAAGCCTGGATCTGATCCTTGTGTGGGGCACTTAGGCGTGAAGACACCCCAGTGAGTATATTCCAGGAAAGCTAGCATAAAGCAGCATCTCCAGAAGACCTGGTCCTCTTGCATTCCCACAATGGTGAGCTACGTTGTAAAAAAATCTAAATTAGTTCTGAGAAAGGGATTCAGCACCAAGAGATACCTACTGGGGTTTTGATTATAGCTGCCAGGTGCTGGTAAATGAGGCAGCAGTAATCTCTGGAAAACCTGAAATAAGACCAATTGGTAGCTTTACTTGATCGGAAGGGCTTTCAGATTTAGGTAATAAAGTTATAGATATAGCCAAGGCTTTGAAGAAATGCATTTATAGTAAATCTTAGGGATTTCAAAGGAAAATAAGCTTCCATCTAAAAGGTAAATTTCTAAGTTTGAAACGGCTGTTTCCTCCCAAGGGCAGGCCTATCGATAATAAAGTGGGCTTTCAAAGTTGGCAAGTGCCAACTTACTTCCCATGGCACAACAGTTGGGCTGTCAAACCGGGTAATGTCAGGTCTGAAGCGTGGCCTCCGTTTCCACTTCTTCCTGCTTATTTTATCTGTTTACTTTTTGTAGTACTTGGGATGGAGCCCAGAACTTTGTACATGCTAGGTCAGTGCTATGCCACGGAGCACACCCTAGCACTTGCTTTCTTTTTTTTAGGTCTTACTTTGTAGCCCAGCCTGACCTTGAACTCACAACCCTCTGCCCCCCTCTTGTGTTAGGGTTACAAGTGTGCACCACTTGGTTGGTTTCCTTTTCACTTCTCTTCTGGTACTCTTCAGCTCTTCTCTTCCTCTTCCTCCTCCTCTTCTTCCCCCTTTGTTTGTGCATGTATACATGCACATGTGGGGAGGAGAGTATGCAGGTGCCAACACACGTGTGTGGATGCCGAGGACAACCTCAGCTATTTACCCTCAGTTGCCATTTACCTTGTTTTTTTTTTTTTAAATCTTTTTGTGATTTTTAATTTAAAAACTTTTAAATGGATTTTTGCTTTATGCATATGACTGTTTTGCTTGCATGTATGTAAGTGTACCCATGCATGCAATGCACACAGAGGCCCAAAGAGGGCATTGGAGTTAAGGATGGTTGTTAGCTGCCATGAGGGTGTTAGGAACTGAACCCAGGCCTTCTTCAAGAGCAGCCAGTGCTCTTAGCCACTAAGCCATCTCTCCAGCCCCTATATTTATTTTTAATTGTAAGTAATTTCACGTTTATGTTTTAAAAATCACAAGCTAGAGAGAAGGCTCAGTGAGTGAAAATCCTTGCTGTGCGAGCATGAGACTGGGGTTTGAATCCCTAGAACCCATGTAAAATAGTCAGATGCGCAGCACAAATGTCTGTCCTCCCAGCACTCCCGTGGGGAGAGAGGAGAATTCCTGGAAGCCAGTGGGCCAGCTAGCCCGGTGTACTCAGTGGAAAAATAACAGAGCCCTGTCAAGACAAGGTGGAAGGTGAGGTCTGACACCACAGACTGTCTTTTGACCTGCACATGTGTGCGTGGCACACATGCCCACATTCACACATATGAATGCATGTGTATGTATACACACAATACTGATTGCTACTACGTTGTATTCTTGAGGCTCTTATTTTTTCACCTATAGATTAATTGTTGCAATTGGGGCAAAAAATAATAGCTCCACGTTTCACTGTTTCCTTCCTTAATGGATTTGATTTGATTCAACAAGGGAAACAAAGAATGGAGAGACCTTAATGAAAGAGCTAGGAGTAAGTGATTAAATACATTAAAAAATCTCTGTGCTTATATTTTAAAGATTTTCTTAAGGTGACCACTTGGTTAGGAGTTCCCTGCTGCATCTTCTGTCTCCAGGGATCATCATGAGACTACAGATGCGAACTTACCAGACCTTTCCAGTCTACCAAGTTGCCATTGGCAAGGGATTGTTGTGCAGATGCACGATTAGTCACTTTCCTAGGATCTCTGCCTGGGAGAAACAACAAGAGGCATACGGCACTGTATCCACCAGAATTTAGCACATTCACAGCTTAGGCAAGGCTGCATAAAAATCAGCTCTGAGACTCCGAGAAGAGATTCCTTTCATACATGGCATGTCAGTGAGGCATTTCTTAAGAACTTTCAGGTCTTAGAAATAAGGCTGGCCTCTGACAGTCAAACTAACAGACCTACTGCATGATGGCTGTGCTAGCTATCTACAAGGGAAGACCAAGAAGTTGCCTGAAAACATGGCCCAACCCAGGGAAGCTGGGTACCATTTCATAGAGCAAGGGTATGGAGTGGGGTTGTCATAGGAACCAAGAGCCTTGAGAATTTAGAGAAAACCTGACCGAATTGGTGATCAGCTAAATACATTGCAGGGAAAACCTTGATGCCTCATGTAGTAGTGCTCACTGGGAAGTTAGCTAGTAGTCAGCTTCCAGCATCCCAGTCTTGGTGTCAGAGCACCCAACTCTCTCCACAATCTTCCATTTAGTCATTTGACTATGTCTCCTCTGCAAAGAGACACTGCATTGACCTGCCAGAGATAGGGTGACAAACTACTGAAATAGGAGGTCCCATGTTGACAGAGCACAGTGGTTCAGGGTACCAGCTCCAGGTGTCAATCCCCATCCTCTACCACTGGTTGTGTGATGTCAAGAGAGCTATTCAAACTATGTCTATCTCAAGCTCCTCATCTATACAATAGGAGTGACCCACTAATCTTTACCATATAGAGCTATAATATAAATGACATGATTAATGCATATGAAATGTTTAGAATAGTGCCTGGCATGAAACAAGCACTCAAAATTATTAGCAACTATTATTATTTCCCCAGAAGATCTTTCTTCAACCTTTTGTAATGCTTTGTGATTTACTAAAATTGAAGATTATTTCTTCTGAAAGGACTAATTGCTGAAAATGCAAATAAAAATTCTGCAAAAATGAATAGAAATGAAAGGATAGTTAAGCTGTCTAATTATAGAGCACTTTCTGTTTTTATTGAATTATCTAATAACTTCTAAACAAATTCAGATGTATAAGGTCTTGGTTTTTAACAGTAGATTAATAAACAAGGTTTTGGATGTAGATAGTCATAGCTACCACTCATGTAGACAGTATCTGCTGTGTGCTGGGAGGCTCTGCACTTTACACACACACACACACACACACACACACACACTCACTCACTCATACACACACACACTCATACACACACACACACGCTCACACACACATATGCTCATACACACACACGCTCATAAACACACACACACTCATACACACACACCACACACCACACACACATACACACTTACTCATACACACACACATTCACTCATACACACACTCACTCATATACACACACACTCATTCAAACACAAACACACACACATACTCACTCATACACACACACACTCATACACACACTCACGCACACACACACACACATACTCATACACAAACACACACACACGCTCAATTTTCTGTTTATGTGTATGATGCGTGTGTGTGGATATGCGTGTTTGTGTGTGTGTAGACACTCCATGGCATACATGCTGAGGTCAGAAGACAACCTCAGTCTTGGTTCTTACCTTCCACCTTGTTTAGACAAGATTTCTCTACTACATGCTCCAGGCTAGCCAGCCTGGGAGCCTCCAGGGAGTCTCCTGTCTGTGTCTTCCATTCTTCTGTAGAAGCTCTCAGTTTACCTATGAGTGCTGGACTACAGACGTGTACTAACCATGTCTAGCTTTATGTGGACTTGACACTTGCAAAGTGCGTGCTTTACCCATGGGGCCATCTCTCTAGCCTTATTTTACATACATTAGGTTGCACAGTTAGGAAGGATAGAGGCAGGTTCGAACCATGCCTGATCTGAACCCAGGCCCCTGCCATAAATTCCCCAGTCTGCTTTGTTAAGATGCTCTAGTCCCAGGCTGGGAAAGTAGCTCAGTGTTAGAGCACTCACCTAGCACATACAAGGCACTGGATTGGATCCCTAGCACCAGAAAGAAAAAGACATTCTTTTAGAATGGTTCAATCCAAGGAAAGGGGGTCGATGAACTTGCAAATGTAAGGCCCAGAGAGTTGAATGTAGTAAAGTAAAAGGCCAGTGTCCCGTACCCTCCCACCTGTGACATCCTCCTCATCCTGGTCTTCTCTGGGGAAAAATACCCCAATAGTGCCCGGATGCCACATAAATTCCTGGGGGATGATTTTCCCAGGGAGCCATTGTAGACTTTTTAAAGGTACACAACTGTGCATTCCTTAATTAAATCCTGTGAATTATTCCAGGGAACCTCTTCAGAATAATCACTGTTTCACAAAAATAAGACAATGACACCAATATAAGGTACATTATCTCCTACCCAGGGAATCAAGCTGAGTAATTAGAGCTTAAGGCAGATCCAATTATCCACAGCACACAGCCAGATTAAAAATCAGAGCTACGTGAGGAGGCAGAGCCCAGGGGAACTCAGAAAGCCTGCATTTCTACAGTGGGGCTCAAACTGAAAGAGCCACCTCCATTTATGTCCCCCTCCCCACGTCCACAGTCTTACCTTGTTCACACAGCTTCTTGGTCAGAGAGCCCTCATCTTGAAAATAAATAATGCGTTTCTGGACGATGCTGGCCCTGCGGGGAAAGAAGACATCAACACAGTCGTGAGAGGGACAGGTTTGGATGGACAGTCAAACACAGTCCTTGCTCAGCTACGGATGGCTGTGTTGTTCTAGGTGAGTCACCCAAGCTCTCTGTGCTTCTGTTTCTTCATCTGAAAATGGACACACTGATACCTATCCCACTGTGTCACTATGAGAACTGTCAGAAAACATATGCCAATATGTCAACAGCTTTGCACATGCCTAGAGACCACCCACTGAACATTAATTACTGAATTATTATTGATGGTATTACTACTGAGGTAAGAAAGTGAATAGCGTTTTCAGTATCTTTTCTCAATGGTTCATTTTATTCTTCCTATTAAACAATTGAGGCCATTTATAGACCTACCCAATTCAAATTATAGAAGCATGTCAAATCCTCTTCCTGAAGGGAAAGAGGAATTTAAAAATATATTTTGATTTGTTCTGAAAATGTCACTCTATATCGTTCCTGAAAGTCTAGACAAAACTGTCTCCTACACTCCGAACAAAGACATCGTCAGCTGTGGTGTCTCTATTTAAACATGTCAAATGCAGGCCCTTAGAATTTGGAAAGCATACTTTGAGGTTGAAAACGACTTACTTTTTGGTCAGCACATATTTTCTCTTTCATCTGGGATTGCACAGACATGCAGCCTCTCCTTTAACTCGCTCTATTGTTTATTTTCAGCTGGCCTCAAAGAGGCTGAATCCAGAAATCTAGTGTTCCAGTAATTCCAGAGTTCACAACACTTAAAATTGAGACAGTGCCAATAAATCTTCCCATTTCTATTGATTTTCTTCTGCAATGCTACTCAATCAAAAGGTAATTTTCACTTCGATTCGCCCTATTTAACAGATAAAGGCATCCCCTGACTCCATTACAGCTGACCATGCTGAATAACTCTTAAAGTCCCATAATCCCAGACCAAGGAATAGGCCCATGTTCTCTGCAGGGATCTGTACAGAGTGGAAGCAATTTCCCCCAGTGGTCTGGGCTAAGGCCAAGAGGACTTTCCAAAGAAATGTCTACTCTACATCCAGACTTGCACAAAAGAATACAGTTCAGACCAATCTCACAGATGTCTTTTACAGTCTTTCCCCACCCAAGAGAGATGAGATGTTACAATAAATGAATGAAATACGCTTCCTGTCTGCATAGAGCTACTTTACCATTTATCCATTCTCTTGACCATTAAGTGGGAAAGTTCCCTGGGGCCAAAAGAATAACATTCATCCCCAATCTGAAGCCAAGTAACAAAGCCTTCTGTTCATTAGAGTGGTCCCCATCTACAGCAGTACTTCTCAGAGTGACCCTTTTCTGTGCCTGGAGGACCCTACAAGAGGGCAAAGCAGCCTCCTGAGAAATATCCCAAGATCCACAGTTTGGGTTCAGCGGACGGCTCCATCCTTACGGCAACCACAGAAACTTCCTCTCCTTGTCTTCTTGCATTTAAGGGCATATTTTCAACAAATTCTTGCCTGAGGCATGCTTAGTGGCTAACACTGAGGAGGGTACCAGAGACATTATCATGGAAAAGAGAGATGGGGCCACCCAGCCCATTCTCACAGCTCACAGCACAGGAAAGCACGCAATGACAAACCCACAGCTAATGATCAAACCCAAGGGTGATTAAGGGTTACACCAGAAACAGCCACAGAATGTGGGAAAGCACGGGGTAGGAAAAGCTTCCCCAAGAAAGGATGGTGGGGTTGAGATCCAGAGGAGCAGGCACTAACTAAATGAAGAGAAGGGAGAGGAAAGGAAGAGAGCATTCTTTATAAAACCCTTGGGGTGGGGAGGGACATGGGCTTATTGGATGCTACGTGAGTGCTAAGTCCAGGAGCTGGTAGATGAGTGGGGAGGTAGGCAGGCCCACACCACCCAGTGCCTGCTGGGAGATGGACTTTATTTCCAGTTTAATAGATGTCTTTGCAAAGCGTGCCCTGAAGACTGCGATAATCAGACCTGTTCAGAGCACAAGGGCCACTGAACAAAAATAGGCTGTGTGGGGTTATTTGGTACTGAGGTTCCATGCAAATCAACTTTTGATTCAATAAAGTTTCAAAAAAAATGTATGGAAACCACAGGACTATAGGTGTGTTGGTTACTTTTCTTCTTATACTGAGTAAACATTTGACAAAGAATACTTTAAAAGAAGAGAGGCCTATTGGGGCCCAGAGTTTGAGGCTTCACAGTTTATCATGGTGGGGAAGATGGGGTACATGGCTCTGAGGAGGCAGGAGTATTAGCAGCTGCTGCGCTCATCCCAATGGGCCAGGAAGCAGAGATGGCATGGGGAGCTGTGCAGGGCCAGAAACCCCAGTACCCACCCTCCAGACACCCGCTTCTTCCGCTAAACCCATCTCCAAATGGTCCCACAACATCCCAAAATAGCACTGCTAGCTGGAGACCAAGTGTTCAAACACATGAGCCTGTGGGGATAGTTTACATCCAAACATATCAGGACAATACACAAACACGGTACTCAAGGCTCTTTTCAGACAAGTGCTCTACTGCTGAGCCACAGCCCTCACAGCCCTTCATTCCCCTCAAACACCCTCTGGCTTTACTTGTCACCATTATATGCCATCAAGTTCCCAAAGTTTGATGTTATTGCGTTCCATGTCTGAATCCCCGTTCCACACTCACGACAGTCAGCCTTTGCTAGTACCTGACAGGAATGCCCTGAATGCAATTCCTCTTCCTGTGAGCGAAAGAATAATGGCCAAAAGCTATGATTTCAAAGCATGATCCTGAAAAGCACTTGTGCCTAACTTTTGAAAAATACAATTGCAAAAATTTGTAGAGACCACAATGGAAGACACGCATTTCCTATAAAATGCCTCAGCTTCTCTATCCCTCGAGGTTACGGAAACTTGAAGTTATCCAGTCCCTTTTAAAAATAATCTTTGTGTTTGAAACAAGAAACAGGGGTCTCGGGAGTTGGCTCAGTGGGTAAGAGCACTTGCTGGAGTTGGGCTCCATTCCTAGCACCACATCAGGCAGCTCACAACTGCCTATAACTCCAGCTTGGGCGGGGGGGGGAGGAATCAGTCACCCTCTCTAGCCTCCATGGGCATCTGTATACACATGGCGTACACACAGACACACACACATACACATTAATAGAAACAAAGCCTTCTTTGGGACAAAAGCACCCCCTAATACACACAACTAGATGGAGAAACTGAGATATAATGCAGTAATACAGCGCTTGTTTGGCATGCCTAAGACCCGGTGTTCCATCCCCAGCATCACCAAGCTAAGTAAGTAAATAAACAATAAACACAGACTTAAAAATAAATAATCTTTGTCATTTCTGAACCCTTGATTATGTTCCAGTTTGTACTAAGGAGGCACCTGTGATGGTTTGAATGAAAATGTCCTCCATAGGCTCCAGCATTTGGACATTTTGTCCCCAGATGATGGTGCTGTTTTGGGAGATTTTTGAAGGCGGTGTGGCTATCCTGGAGGAAGCACGTCACTAGGGGTGGGCTTAGAGAGTTCCTAAGCCTTTCTGGATTTCCAGTTGCTCTCTTGATTCCTGTGCCTGCATGATGATGTGAGAGCTTAGCTTCTGCTGCTCCTGCTCCAGCCACCTCCAGCCACCATGCCTCCCTGCCATGATGGACTGTAATTCCCCTGGAACCGTCAACTCAAATAAACTCTTCCTTCTTTTATAAGTTGTTTTGGTCACAGCAACAGAAAAGTGACAAATACAGCACCTTATAAGCATTATCTTATATAACATATGCTACACTGTATATGTGTGTGTGCAGATAATTGCATATTTCATATTACTCATTTAGTATTTTCCATTTTCTCATCTGAACTGCTTGGGCTAGGTGTGCCTTTTAATACGGAATTTTTCAGGTATTAGAAGTATTGTGTATATGTCACTGAAACCCCTCTCATCAAATGTGTCAATATTCTATAGCAAAGTGTTAGATAATTCACACTAAAAGAGAAATTAAAACTATAAATGGTTTGTTTTTAGTTTAGGTCAAAATGCTCTATGAGACTCAGGTTTGTGCCTATTCAACTCATATCATAGGTAAGAATCATGAAGATATAGGAAGATTTGGGCTTTGAAGTTCCCTGTTTGCTTCCAAAGTCGCAGATCCACCTCATGCTACCTTTGATTCAAGGTGAGGAGACATTTCTCATAAAGTGTTACCTAAACTGATTTTCCTTGGAAAATCATTGCATCTTGTGGAGCATACTATGGAGAGCTGAGACCTTGGTGGGTCTCCCAAACAGCCTGAAGCACCCCATGCAAAGCTGGGTGTGGCCAACCCTCTACCTTGTGCCCTTTGGCACAACAGAGTGGGAGTCAAACAAAGATGAAAGTTAAGTTCTGTTCCCACCTAGTCCCTGGGACCTGGCTGCATCTCTGTCCAGCCCCTCCAGGACCCTCATCCTGGTCACATTCTATTTCTACTTCCAAATTCCCAGGCCTTAGGTCTCCATCCACGAGCCTCCTCATGACTTCATTACCCCCCCACCGCCACCACCACACACAGCCTCCTCATGGCTTCATAGCCCCCCGCTTCACACATTCACACATGCACTTAGTTACCTGAGTCATATCAAACTAAGTTGTTCCTTCTTTCAAATTTGGTTTCCTGACTGGGTGTTTTTCCTATGAGAGCCAGGGACTGCTGGGATTCTCTGAGCATAGCACCAACTAACCCATGGGGTAACTGCCTATTTTTAAGATTTTTTTTTAGTTATTTATTTTTTGTTTTGTGTGTGTGCCTGCTTGTCTGTATATGCAGCATGTGTATGCAGTGCTAATAAAGGCCAGAAGAGGGCATTAGATCCCCTGGTACTGAAGGTAAGCCACCTTATGTAGGTTCTGAGAACAGAGCAGCAAGTGCTCCTAACTGCTGAGCCATCTCTCTAGCCCCTAGCCTTTTTTTTTAAAAAAAAACTTCTGTTCTAGTTTGTCTTCAATTGCTGTGACAAAACTCTGACCAATACCAGCA